TTTTTTAAAAGTCCCCCGCCCCCGCGAGCACGCACGTCGCCACGTAAACACGCGTCGGGTGCGCCTACGTATGAAAACGACGAACGCGCTACACATGTTGGGTATCGCCGCGCACGCCGGAGTGAGAGCAATAATTCTAGGGCCAGTATTTTGGGGTATCTCTAAATTGATGACCTGTGGGGGCTTTTAAAGCGTCTTCTATGGACTTTTTGGGGTACTGGGGTTTTTTGCCGTTTTACGGATGCACGCAATTTGTAACCTGGGCAAGTTGGGTATCGTTTTACTCGTTGTAACCTCATCTTTTATATTTCATTAAAAAAAATGGGTATTTTGTTGTGTTTTGCGGCATTTAATTAAATTTTTCACTAAATATTGGGGTTTAATAAGGAGTTGCGTTAATATTGCGCAACATAAAAATTTGGACCTACCACCATTTTATTCTATAGGGTCTCGGCATTCAGAAAATATATCATGTTGGGGGGTTTTAAGTCATTTTCAGGCCTAAAATGTGGAATATAACATGGGTGCAAAAAATGAAAAAAAGGCCTCAGTCATGAAGGGGTTAAAGAAGCAATGACACACCAAAAGCCCGGCCTCAATGGCGGGGGTGGGCGGCCCCTTCTTCGGGACGCAGAAGCGATCTGGCGACAGCTGGAGACGTACACTGTACGTCGTTAGTCACGAAGGGGTTAACCTCCCTGGCGGTGTGATTATTATTATTTTTTTTCCTTTTTTTGCTCTTTTTAATTTTTTTTTTTTACTTTTAAACTTCCCGCCGGTTTCCGCCCCCCTGCGACGCGTACGCTCGCAAGGGGCGGAACCTGGAATCGGCCGGAGGACACAGCGGAGATCTCGGACAGGGTAAGAGACGCTACGCTGTATTCCTGAAATGTGTTTCTGCACCCAAAGCAAAAATTACCGCGGCTCAAATCAAGTTATAACCCTAACCCTAGTGTAAGGGGTTAATTTGAAGACCACTCGGAACCGGACACACCATAGAAATCCTTATACAGAGCTCCGGGAAGCAATCGGACAGACACAGTTTGTAAGTCTAATCATGTTCGAGTTTATTATGGAAAAGGCGCAGTTTATATACACAGTCAGTCACGTACACAGTATGGAAAAAGGGAAATGCTCACACTGCTGACACGTACGCAGAATCTAAATGTGTTATATTGTTCATATAAGAATATTACTTGCATAGACTGTTTCAACATATAGCTGACATAGTGACATAACACACATAAAAGGCAACTCTAGACCTAACACCTAGCAAAAGAAAGGTAAGTATGGGCAGATTCGTTGGCTACAAATTGGTCAGAAATCTGTTTTTAGGGTGCCCTGGAAGGGCAGATTTTAGAAGCAACTATTGATCTGCCGTTCCTTTCTGCGTGTATTCGCGCAGCGAGGTGTTTCATTCCACCATTGAGAGGTCAGTTTAATTAACCGCTTGAAGTCCGCGGTGTTACACCCCCTTCCTTGGCCAGGCCATTGTTCAGTATTCAGCGCTGCGGTACTTTGACTGACGTTTATTCCGTCATGCAACGCTGTACTGAAATGAATTTTATACCCTTTTTGTGGGGACAGATAGAGCTTTATTTTGGTGGTATTTAATCACCACTGGGGGCTTTTATTTTTTACTATATTCAGGAGAAATGACTGAAAATTATTATTTATTTTTTTTTTACATTGTTATAACGCAACTAATATTACCCACTTTTTTTGGTAAAATATAAAAAGACGGGGTCACGTCGGGTAAATAGACACCAAACATGTCAAGCTCAAAAATTGCGCAAAATCGCAAAAAAAACTAGCATACCCAAAATTGGCCATAGGCGACACTTTAAAAGCTTTTACCGCTCATCAGTTTAGTGTTATCAGTGATTGATGGCCCTAGAACCATTGCTCTCACTGCGACGTTCGCGGCGATATGTAACATGTGCGGCGTAATGGGCGCCATCGTCGTTTTCGCAGGTATGCGCACCTGACGCATGTTTACATGCGTGTATGTAGGGGTGGGGACTTTAAAAAAAAAAAAATAGTTTTTTTAATTCTTTGTGTAACTTTAAAGAATTTGGGGAAACTTTAAAAATGTGTTCCTTTTTTTTTTCCCCTCCTCTTAGTTGTC